ATTACCTATTTATATTTTCAAGTATTCTAGTTTGGGGCAGAGACAAGAATTTTTCTTTGTAATTGAAATTTATGTTCTGGGTTTGATTTTTGTTGCTTTTTTTCTCATTTTTTTTTAATGTATAGCTTTGAAACTAACTCTCATTTCTCTTTTGCAGCGATCCTACACGTTGCTCGTTGAGGCATGGGATTACAATGATAACTCCACTAGTAAGTATTCATTCTGCTGGCTGACTTAGTTCAGACACCTTGATCTCCTGTCTGTTGAAAGGCCTTTGGTAGTCTAACCAGCTCACTGTGAAGCAGAGCATGAGGAGAGGGAAAAGCTCTCCACCAGACAATACAGAACAACTACTCCAGGCTCCACAGCAGCCTGTCTTCCTCATATTGCTTGTAGAGGATGAGTAGCTTGCTCACCTAGGCGCCCATGGTTTTGTGCCTAAAAATAGTTGCTGTTAATTCCCTCTTTTTCCTTAGATAGAATAAAAGCTAAGGGGTTTCTTTAGGGATTTTTGATTGGATTTTTTTAATTAGGAGTGATATTCAGAAGCCTGAGTGGTGCTGACTTGGAACCTCCCTATAAACTAGGTACTTCTCAAAACTGAATGTGCTGCTATAAAAAGAAAGCCATCTCCTAAGACTTACTACAGATATCCATCTGATGACTGTAGATGAGAAACAGGAGTGACTACCAGCTCTTCCTTGGGAGTTGGATGTCTAGGAATTTATATTCAGGGGCTGAAAAGTATTTACCAGACAGCACCTGGTAGAGCTGGCTGGAAATCAAGGGTGGGAATCTTTTGCCTGGAATGTCTTTGGTTGGTTTCAGAAACTTTCTGCTAAGCTAGAAGAAGCTGTACGGAGTCTCTTGGCATGTGAGCTGTTCTGCTTATCGTCTAGTGTTACTGAAGGAGGTGGGCAAAATTAGCTCTGTTTTCAACCTAAGGCTTTAATAGTGTGTGGTAAAAGCCACAGGAGAAGGTACGAATCTGAACTCCTAAACCTTTTGTTGACACAACAAGCCTACTCCTTCAACAGAAAAGCGCGAATACTGTGGCCCATCTCACACAAATCTTGTAGCTTCTTGTGCACTTTGGAATGCCAGGTGACAGGCTCACAGGAACAAAATGGACTTCATGCTTCAGGGAAGAAAGGCCTTATAGAAACGTGCACAGTGCTGTGGTGGTGTGTTTTAATTGGCAAAGGGTATAGTGCTTGGGAATGGCCTCTGAGTCTGAGAACCTCTCTGCACAGATCTCTTCATGGGTTTTTAACATACACGGGATGTCCTATCAGTTGCACACAAGTTGTCCAGTGTAGATGGTTCATATGACCTGTCAGTGATAGTCAAGGTTTGCTTTACAACCGACTACATTCAATGCTATTCAATGTGGAACCTGTGATTTTTGGGCCCTACCCCAGCTTTACCCAGCACTGGGGGACTTTTTGGCTCTTGACTATGGGGTGTTTTCTGGAGGAGCAGAAAATAGCTTGCTGTATTAAAAATCGAAGATGCCTGAATTCAAAATAAAGGTCTTGTTTATAGTAGGATCTGAGAGGTTTTTCAGACTGGGTCTCTGTCACTTTTACTATTATTAGAGCTCATCTTTTTTCATGAAACAACTGCATTTCTGAAGCTACACAATGAACCCTTTCTTTGCTTTCATGTGCTGGAAGTACAATTGTCTTCAGACAAAATTGCCTCATTTCTCAGCAGTGCATTTGACCAAGTGCAGACATGTTCTTACATATGTTCCTGATTTGCATTCCTACTCTAGTTTTGCTGTCACATACCCATCTCTAGGTCACTTCAGTCACAGTATTGCACAAAGCTTTGCCTTTGTGCCACATCGCTTTACTTACAGTCAGCTTTCCCATAGCTGAAGAGTAAGTCTTGAAGAGCTAGTTAAGGAAATCATTAGGACTAGGCATCATATATAAAGCAATGAGGACTTTTTTGATGTCCAGGATTTTCTTTTGCATCAGTTGCCACTGAATTGTGAGGAGTCTGAGACAGCTCTCTTTCAGAAAAGTGGGTTTAGTAGGCTTTGTGTAACTTCTCAATAGCTCTAGCATCCTCCCATCAATGCAGTCCTTAGGAGATCCTAGAGTGGATGCTTCCTTCCCCCCTCTACATTCCACTCCTCCTACGTTCCCTTTACCACATACTCTCTTGTCTTGCTTCCAAGAGTGGTTTGCAGTTAAATTCTGGCCCTGTTGAACTTGATGAGAATCACGCTTTGTTGGAGCCAAGATTCAACCTAAATGGTTTCCTTACTCTGCTTCTTGTCTAGATGCCATCTTGCTACTGTCGCTTCATACATAAAGCTAATGGGGCTGACATTGCATCTCAAACTGTGTCAAAGAGCTATTGTAAATTACTGGTATCAGTTGCATGTGAATTCCAGTTGGGCATAAGAGACTTTAGCACAATGTAAACTAAGCCATAGCTGGAAGTTGTCAGAAACAAAGACCTTCAAAAATAACTGTGGTGTCCTTGGCCACCCAAACTGCCTTGAGGAGTCTGGGCTTTTCTTGTTGTTGTTTGCTTCCTGATGCTGCATAGTTATAATTTCCAGGCATTGGAGCACTGCAAAGCAAAGGTGGGCAGTCAGAACAGCTCATTTCCCTGTGCCTACAGCCATTGATACAGTTGCCCACTGAATAAAGAGATTAATAGCTTTGAAACGTAGCCATGAGAAGTGAATGAAACCAGCAAACTCTCTTACAGCAGAGTGGAAGCTAAAGATGTACAGAAAGCCTCTCTCTTCCACTTCATCGATTTTGAATTGGTTAATGTTTCCTCAACCCTTTGTATCGAAGCACGGGCTTCCGAGTCAGCTGGTGTCAGAGGGGTTAGGAGGATGGCTTTCTCTCAAGCCTGGTTGACTGCTGCTTTCTATTTACTTCACCAGTCTGCTGCTTTGGGATTGCTTACTATAAAACTTAAAACACTGTCGGTGCAAGCTAAGAATGGAAGAGTTGTTGCGACAAAGTCTGGGTCAGCACACTTGTGTAAGTGCATACTCGCAGGCAGGAATAGGGAAGGGTGGAGAAATTTTAGTACAAGAAGGAACACGCCAATACTTCATTGTGAAAACTGTGGGTGATGGCTCATGGAAAGGGATCTTAAGCCTGTGAGACCTTACTTGAATTGAAATGTATGGTGGTAGCTTTGTAAGGCGTATCAAATGAAAGGCATTTTAGGCATGATCCAAAGAAAAATAGCAGCTGGTTTTCATCTGGGCCCTTAGAATAATAAAGTCCAGTGGTCTAATAAGGATGTTTCCATTTGAGTTCAGCCTGTGGTTAAGGGCTCAAAAGAGCCGGTGGTTGGAGTGAGATGTTGTAGACATACAGCAAGGACATGTTTCCTAATGAGCTGGCAGATAGGGGAGGAATGATAGAGCACAGGCAAGAGGAAAGATCTCTTTTCCAAGGCGACTGTTTTTCTGGTGCCAAGGACTGAAATAGCTGTCAGTGGTATGTTCCCAATGGGGAACAGGAAAAGGCTGGAAAAGCAAGAGTGAGTGAGTGTGTGTGTGTGTGCATGGAGGGGGGTGGTTTACAAAACTAAATTGAGCGTCATTCCCCTTTTCTTCTCCCCCTTGCAGGAGAAAAGGATTGAGTTGTTTTATTACGCGAAACAGGATGTCTTTATGAACAGAGTGTCGGTATTTGGGGAAATGCATTTGCTTTCCAACTGTGCTGTAGATCAGGGTGTAATCTTGGCAAATGCAGCAAAGCCATCCCCAGCATGCATGAGTGGAGCTCTAATCGCCTGACTAGCCCTATTCAAGACGAATAGATATGCATCTGCTTAAGCACCTCTGAGAATTAGTCAATAATCTCGTTGATGAGATCTAAGAGCCTTACACCTGCACAGTACAGGACATGATATTGCTCTGGATAGACCAGTATGGAAAAGTCCTTAGGCATCTGCATGACTTGTGAATGGGGTTTAAATTAATAAAGGCCTGCACGCATTTGAAAGTCTTGCACATAGATGTGGGGTTGGGGGCTTAGTGCCAAGGAATAATAAAACCTGATTTAAATGGAAAATAGTATAGAACCAGAAATACCAGAAGGTGAATAAGAAGTTGCCCTTAATTTCACACTGTAAACACTTAATGAATGCTCTAGTCCCATGCCAAGGATACCCTAAGAATGGGTAAATGCTTGGTGTGTGTGTGTATTGACAGGGGTCTGTGGTGGTGCAGCGAGTGCTTTGAGCTTTATTCAGAGCTGCAGACAAGCGGGCAGAATGGGGACTTGATAATGGGGATCTGAGGCTTGAGAAGCCTGTTTTGGAAGTTCTTTTTGAAAGCTACAAATCAAAGGTCCTTAGCAAAGACATCTAAAAATATTTTAGATGAAGAACTGCCCATGTGGCATCTTAAGGTTTACGCAGGAACTTCATTAGTCTTCAGCTCTGCCTTATGTAAAATCCCCAACCTTGCCTTTGTAATTGTTGGAAGAGCAAGTTGGACATCAGTACCTTTTAATTCTCAATGCTCAAACGTGCCGGTGCTTCTCACACCGCTTTCTAACACATCGTTGGCAAACTGCCCTTCTACCTTCTACAGCTGCTTCTGTCACTGGGTTATGCTCCCATATACAGAACAGTGCAGCCTGGTACTTACTGTTGTTTTTGTACTATGTCTGCAAGGATATTTTGGCTGTTTTATGATAAACTTTCACTTGACAGTCAAGTGCTTGCTAGCAGCAGGTCGTAAGGCAGCATCAGATCGTTTAAGTCACAGGACCCGGCCTACAAAGTGAAATACCACAGATATATACAATGCTCTGAGCTAAGGTGAAGTATTATTATTTCAAGCCATAATTTAGACAGTTGTAGGGCTCTGAAAGCCAGAAGAGTTTTGCTGCAGCTAAATGTCAAGTACAAAGTATAAGCTCTATAGAGAGTACCCAGCTCTACAGCAGACATAAGCAGTAATCTGAGTGCTCTGCTTCAAGTTGTGGTAGTCCTGAATTTTTAGGGTCAGGTACCATCTGAGGAGAGAACTTCCATGGCATTTCTTAGCCAAAACCTGGTGAGGTCACCGATGTCATCTGAATGCCAGAGTTGCTGGTTCTGGATTTAGAGTTTACACCAGAGTCCCGGAAGGCTGCAAACCTTTAGCGATGCTTATGTTCACTTTGCAGGCATTGCTTTATTAGGCTATTGTAGGATGATGTTTTCATAAATATTCCCCTTAAAAACAAAACTAGTACCATGAAAGGAGAAGCGAGGAAAATCACATTATGTACCAATCTGTTGCAGCTAGAAGTAAAAGCAGCTGGATTTTCTTCAGTCATGAACTGTGTAATTCTTCCTGGATGCCCTTATGCTGCAAAAGGGATAAGTGATTGCCAGTGGCCTAGGAGTCCCTTTTGATTTCAGGCTTTGCTCAGTTTGATAATGCTGCATATGTGTTTCAGTTAATGGCTTGTAGCTCCAGGGCAGCCTTATCTTGCTCTCTAAAACAGAAAGTTAATAAACCCAACTAGCTGCCTTAAAGAGCCTTGCCTGTGAAGCTGGTGAGCTGTGATGTGGGAGGTAATGAAACCTAAACAGACTTTTAACTCTGACATCTCTTGTAAATTCTAGATCCCGATCGCATTATTGAGAAGGCATCCCACTCTGGCATGATCAACCCAAGCCGTCAGTGGCAGACCTTGAAACATAATGCAGGAGCTGCCCACTTCGAGTATCAGATCCGTGTGACCTGTGCAGAACATTACTATGGCTTTGGCTGCAACAAGTTTTGTCGACCGAGAGATGACTTCTTCACTCATCATACCTGTGACCAGAATGGCAACAAAACCTGCTTGGAAGGCTGGATGGGACCAGAGTGCAACAAAGGTTTGTGACGAATGCTCGAGCCCCAAATGATCAGCAGGCTTGGTTAGGATTTGAGTGTATTGTAGCCAGGTTGCAATTGAGTGGTCAGTTTGTGCAGGGGTAATGGGACAGCAGCTCACTCTTTACACAGAGCAGTAGGGGCAGGACTAGCTTCTGCCTTGTTTTAATATCTTGGAGAGGTCTGACAAGTACTGGGCACTTAGCAGATGTGTTCGTTCTCTGATTATCCCCATCTTTGCCCTTGGGAAGAAAACCCAGCCCATTGACTTCAATGGGACTTCTGCCGCTGACTTCAAAAAGGATTTCCCCTTTGGTGCAGAACTTCAAGAGAAGCAGGAAGGAGAGACTTGTTTTAGGGCTGACCTGGCAAGTGTAAAGCTTTGGTGTCTGAAGAGTCCCAGGCTGTTTGTTCTACCTGAGATGGTTTGACATGTTTATTAGGGAATGGCAACTTCCTCACTAATTTCAGAAGGAGAAAGCAGGACTCTGAGCAGGAACAGACTATGAGCAGGTCTTGCTGACTGAGTTTACCTGCAGTTTGAATTGATGCCCATCTTAATATCTTGTCCAGAGATACGGCTCAAAAGTAATCCTGGAGTAGTTAAAAGTTGCCTTGATGTAAAGCCAGGGAGAGTGGACCGGTCCATGTGCAAAAGACAGAGAAAGGAAACCTGTAGACTCAGAGTGACTTGAGCTCTCTAACGTGAGACGGTTTCTCTTGAATAGAAGCAACATTGAACAGCATTAGGTACGATTCCCCTGTGACGCTAGCTGATGGATTTCCCATCACAGGGAGCCACCTACCTTGGTTTGCCTTCCAGTAGGCTTGATACGAGAAACTTATTAAAACCTTGGATTTAGTAGGATTACAGTGCTGGTTGGAGATTAAAACATTCCCACGAGTGTGAAGATGCAGGAAGCAGACAGCGTGCTGATACTTCTCTTTCTTTGTCTTAACAGCCATTTGTCGTCAGGGATGTAGCCCCAAGCATGGCTCTTGCACAATTCCAGGAGAGTGCAGGTAAATGCCCCCTCTCCCTCCTTGTTTCCCTCCATCCCCCCCAAATAATTAAACAAGTGATGCTAAACACAATAGGACTGGGGAGGGAATGTGGTTTTGGAGGCGTGTTTTTGACCAAGGCACATTATTCATGCTGACTTGCCCAGAATAAGGGGGGAGCAGGCTTTTAATGCACTGATAATTTTAAGAAGCTTTTGGTTTGTGAAATGGTGGCGCTGGGAGAAGAGGGGGGTATGAGATAAATCGCGTGAATGCTGCCTAATGAGCGCTAACTAATTGTTCCTGCATAAATAGTGCATATGTTTTGTGAGTACTTTCCCCCCCCACAAGCCCGATTAATAGGCTTTTTCAACTACAAGCTTGAAGTACAGTGTGGTTTTTCTCTCCCCTTCTCCCTTTCAGTCTTTTCCCCCTCCCTCCTTCCCACCCCCTGGTTTCTTCCATCAGTAGGCAAAAGTCAAGCATTCTTTAGAATGGGATTAGTTAAATCTCTCAGTTCCTTTACCATTGTGAGCCAGGCTCCGAGTGCTGAGAGGTTAATAGCTGGGATGAAATCTTGTCAGTAGGCTCTGATGAATGCAGAATTTTGCTCCCATGCTTTGAAGTCCATTCTGTCCTGGCAAGGATACAACGAAAAGCAGAGTTTATCCATAACCCAGCAATTAGATATTTGGAATACAGCATATTTATATAGCACAGGGAAACGTGTTGTTCCCTCCCTTACAAATACAGGGTTAATGGGTATTAAATGTGACAATTCCTCATCAGCAAACAGCTTGTAAGTTGCTGTGTGTAACCCCTTATCGTACCTGTTTACAGGTGATAGGGAAGTGAGGGCTTCTGAGGTTATGAGATACTGATGCTGAGTAGGAAGGGTTAAAAATGAAGCTTGGGAATTCAGGGATAAAACTCACAAATCTGAAGGAACAGAAAGCAGATTTTCTGCCTAACAAACCTATGGTTGGATTCTCTGTTGCTGCAAACTTTTGCTTGAAGGGGGCTGCTTTTCTTTCTGGATAAGCTATAGTTCAAACAAGGACCAGGTCTGGGGTGTCTAACACACTATAGGAAATCAGCCTAAATAGACACAGGGGTTCATTCTTTCTCTGTCCCTGTGTTCTGTGCTTCAAAACCAAAACACAAAGTCATGCAGGAATGTTCTGAGAGGAAGGTGGAAAATAACTTCATCCTCTGCAAGAGATGTTGCAAAGTGAAAGTCAAGCCACAGGATGGATGGGGCCGTTGTAGGTTGTGCAGTGATTTCAATGTGTAGCAGTGCTGATATAAGCTGCTTCACCCTCAGAAGACCAAATCTAAAGCTTTTTTTAATTAGAAAAGGAAAAAAAGCCTCACAAGGAAGTATTGGGGGGCCAGATGGTGAGAGGATTGTATCAGTCAAGGCTACCAGTGATTTGTGCTTCTGTCATCAGAATAAACATGCCTTGTAGAGGTTGCTGTCTCCTAGTCAGAACAACAGGCTTTGTTTCCAGAGTTTTTTCTTCCCTTTCTCTTTCTAAGTCTCTTGCCTCCCACTCACTGCCCAGACATGCACTAGTGCTCTTATTTACTTAAGGTGCAACTTTCCCACACTTGATTTGCATAGTCTTGAAACAATGCTGTCCTTCTGGTGCTTTCAGATAACTTCTGCTTGCCAAGGTAGACCAGTATCTTTAAAGTGAACACAGAAACAAGATTTTATTCTCTTTTAAGTTTTGATGAGTCATATAGCCTGTATGTTATAAACGCAACAGAGGTTAAAAATAACATCCCAGCAGAAACTGCTCTGGGTTCTGGTACAATAGACAACTTGCAAACATTCCTAAAATATCCTTTTCCCTTTTGGTGCGAGTCACTTTCTTTAATGCAGGCCAGCCAACAAAACCATATTTACTCATGAATCACTAAACAAGGAAAGTTAACGTTAAATTTCTCATGAGAAACTGCTGCATACATATTATTAAATGAGAATTATTACCATGAATCTTATTTCTGGAATGGGTATCTAACTCTTTTTCTAATGCCCGTAGCCTTACCCAGCTTTGTTTGTTACACTTTGAAGCTGATGTTTGAAGAAAGTTGTATCTTTGGCTCTAAAGCTCATGGGTTTTTTTCCTCTGTGATTTAGATATATATATATATCATTCTTAATTACTTGTTTCTCTTCACACTTGCTTTAAGGAAAACAAGCATTCCTTTGATTTGGCAGAAAGGAGTAAAAGTCTCAGTCTGGATACCTGTTTTTGCAGGGGAGGTCCCTTAGTTTTGCTTGCATGCAAGCTCACAAGGGAGTTGCTTTGAATGCAACACAAATTAAAAGGGGATGTTCCTGAATTTTGATCTTTGTGCCTTCTTACTGTATTTCCTACACAGAAGGATTTTCCAAGAGCTACTAGAGAGAGGTTGTTTTGCCTGATCTGGGTTTCTTTCATGTTCTTTGCACAGACAGACACATAAGTCGGCCTAGTGCTTCTTTTTAACACACGAGCTAATAAGATTTTCCCATTGAGTTTGAATAGGCTGCTATTGAAATAGCTATTAAAGAAAGCACTTAATTAGGATGCAGTTTGTCACCTGAGGTTTCAGAAGGGAAGTCAGACTTACCACTGGCTGTGTGTGATTACCCATTGGATAGATCCTTCCAGCTTTTTCCCATGAGAAGAAATCGGCAGCGGAATGGTGGGGGGTTTCACAAATAGAAAGCTTAGCTGACTTCTGTGCAGATGAGGTTTGTTTTCATAACTTAGTGACAGCTTAGTGCATAATTGCTGCTGATCAATTACTCTCAGGACCTGTTAATGAAATACAGGACCTCAACAAACCCTGGCTTTTTACTTTCAGCTTGTTTTCCTTGTTTCTATCTTTAGATTCACTTTAATCTGAAGAATCCTTGCTCTGCTTGGCTAGTGAGAGCTAAATGAAAGCCAAAATGAGCTTTCCCTTAAGGGGGCTTTACTTTACAAGAACATCTTTGTTTTAAGTAGGAATTCAGGTAGCTCACTGGTCGCAGCAATACATGATTTCAATAATAATAATAATCATAATCAGTTCTTCTCCAGACATTAAATGAAAAGCTTTTCAGCATTGGATGTGTGCTAGTTATTCCATGACAAGATGCCAGCATAAATCAAACTGAAATACTGACAGCTGATCCTCTCTGAGGCCATGTAAAATCCTGATGGCTGCTGTTCTCTTTCACTTCTTCTGTGGCCCAGTCCATATTTGCAGTGTACATCTTCCAGTTCAGAATAAGGTTATATTCTGATAGAGCAGAGAGCTCCTGGTGCTTTGCTGCTGCCTTGCCAAGGGCTCCGGGTTGGTGTTTATGGTTTTGTTTGTCTTCCTGCAAACCCAGCCCGGCTGAAATGCCTGGAACCTTGTATTCATGGGGACCTCTGCATAACCATTGTTTCCACTGACTTTTTCTTCCCCCCCCCCCTCTCAGTTTATAAAGCACCCTGTCAAAGTCCAGAGATTGATTTGTAGTGCACACCCACCCTCTCTGCCACATTTGTATGAGGCTCCAAAGGAGGAGTATTGTGCTGAATGGCCTCATGCTGGTTCTCTCAGAACAGTTATTCTTTTGTCAGGAGGCCGGCAAGAGAGACCTTGGCAAAGCTACCATAATGTTTGTTTACAAGAAACCATCAAACAAACCTCCAATAGCTTCTCCCCTCCCCTCCTCCTGCCCTTCTCCCCCACCACCCTGGTTTCTCTCCAAGCTTTGGAGTTCCACACTCGCATCTACACAGGGTGATTCTAACGGGGTTTTGGGTTGTTTCCCTATTCTGACTTCTTTTTTCCCTCTCTTTAAACGAAGGTGTCAGTATGGATGGCAAGGCCAGTACTGTGATAAGTGCATTCCACACCCGGGATGTGTCCATGGCACTTGCATTGAACCATGGCAATGCCTCTGTGAAACCAACTGGGGTGGTCAGCTCTGTGACAAAGGTATGCTAATCTTGTCCATAACCCAGTGTAATGCTTGCGTTTTAACACTGGCAAACTCCGCGTGGAGAGAGTGTGCAGAGACTGAGTGAGTCCACTGGAACGTGGTGTTGGCATTTGGCACTGTTAGCATGTGTCCTTAGCTTCTCCCTGTCCTGCCCTGCAGGATGTGGGTGGTTGTATTGTGTAAAGGCTCTGGAGTAATGGAACAAAGCACGCATGTGCTGATGTTTCTGTTGCTTTTCAGCCACGGTTTTAATGCTCCTCACCTCTTGCAGATCTGAACTACTGCGGAACCCACCCGCCCTGCTTGAATGGGGGTACCTGCAGCAACACTGGCCCTGATAAATACCAGTGTTCCTGCCCTGAGGGCTACTCGGGACAGAACTGTGAGATTGGTAAGTGTGTGATGCTGCCACGTGGTAGTTAATCCTCGCCAGCTTTCAGTGGCTGGTTTTGGATGAAGTTGGGAAAAGCTCCTTTTCCGGTGTGAAGATGTCAGGGCTGGCTGCGAAGAGCCAGACTTGCTTGTTCATGCTTCATCATGAACAGCTGGTATCTCTGAACATCAGCCTTCTGCTTACCGGCGGGATCACTGCAAGTACCTTGCCTGGCTCTGACTCAAACAGGTGCAAGTCAGTGTGGTGATGAATTCAGCATGGAAGATGCTTCCTGCTGTCGAGTAGCTTTTGATTTGAGGTTCTCACAGCAGCACTGATGGTGTGTCCAGAGGGAGGGAGCAGGGGGGTGCCTTGTGGTCACTGCTATAGACTCTAAATGCTGTGTTTCTGTGCCGGTGCAGCGGAGCACGCCTGCCTCTCTGACCCTTGTCACAATGGAGGAAGCTGCTTAGAGACGTCTCTGGGATTTGAGTGTGTGTGTGCGCCTGGCTGGGCTGGACCAACTTGCACTGATAGTAAGTGCTCGGAGAATAGCATTAAAAATGTCCTGCTCTGCTGGTTGACACCAGTCTCTCTGATCCCTGATAAACTTAACCTTACCCAGCTTTAGCGTTGATTCTTGGCATCCATTTATACCACTGTGCATTCTCTTCTCCTTTGCTTATACCAAGGTTTTTGTTAAACACCAGGGGAAAGAATAGTCAATGGCTTCTTGAAAGAAGCAGAACACTGAATTCTTGTAGCATGCTGGCAAGCTGCTTAAAATACTGTTTAGAGAGGTTTGCTGCACCAAAATATAACTCCCACTTGCCAAAAGGCCACAGGTGTAAGCTTCTTCCCCTGTGCTTTGAATCCCCTTTCACACTGCTGTGAAATAACAGGAGGCTTTTGCTGAAATCAGAGTAGATGTAGAAATCGGAGTAGACACAGAGTCTCAGCCTCTCTTTACTCTGCTTTACAGATATTGATGATTGTTCTCCAAATCCCTGTGGTCATGGAGGAACTTGCCAGGATCTAGTTGATGGATTTAAGTGTATTTGCCCACCTCAGTGGACTGGCAAAACGTGCCAGCTAGGTGAGAACTGCTCTTCTCTACATCCAGTGTTGCTCTGGGGCGAGTGGGGGGAGATAAATGCAAAAGGGATCATAGTTGGGCAGACAAAGGGTGGCTGTGCCCTTTGCATTAGGCAATGGTTTATGGTTTTGGAGCCTATGGGTGTATTGTGGCACATGGAGAATATTGTCAGTGTTTGCAGGACTGGGGTCTAGA